TCGGCCAGCCCAGGAACATTGCCCAAGAGCTCCAGCCCTGCCCTCACTGACCTGCTTCTCATTCCCCTTTTGGGGTCTGTTCTGGAGAGGCTCCTTATCTGAGGCCTCACGGGACAGAGGAATGCCCAAGGAGGTCCCTCAGGCCAGGGGCAGCGTTGGGGGGGAGGAAAAAGACGACATAAAAAGTGCTTAGGGGGCTTCCCTGGTGGCGCAGTGATTAAGGATCTGCTTGCCAATGAAGGGGACACAGGTTCGAGCCCTGGTCCAGGAAGATCCCACATGCCGCGGAGCAACTAAGTCCATGCGCCACAACTACTGAGCCTGCGCTCCAGAGCCCGTGAGCCACAACTACTGAAGCCCGGGTGCCTAGAGCCCGTGCTCTGCAACAAGAGAAGCCACCACAATGAGAAGCCTGCGCACCGCAAAGAAGAGTAGCTCCCACTCACCACAATTAGAGAAAGCCCACGCAGAGCAACAAAGATCCAACGCGGCCAAAAACAAACAAATTAAAAAAAAAAAAAAAACCTTAAAAAAATGGTGCTGGGGCTTCCCTGGTGGCACAGTGGTTGAGAGTCCCCGATGCAGGGGACAGGGGTTCGTGCCCTGGACCGGGAAGATCCCACATGCCGCGGAGCGGCTGGGCCCGTGAGCCATGGCTACTGAGCCTGCACGTCCGGAGCCTGTGCTCCGCAACGGGAGACGCCACAACAGTGAGAGGCTCGCATACCGCAAAAAACACACACACAAAAAAAACAAACAAAAAAACAAACAAAAAACGGTGCTTAGGGAGTTGGGCCATGAAACTAGAAGGGGAGTGAGCAGGGGCTGGGGGTGGGTGTCAACCCCTGCTCTCCAACAGGGAATTGTGATTGAGCAGCTTCTTGGTGCCTCTAGACCAAAGGTTGTTGGACTTCTTCTGTAAAGGGACAGAGATGAACTATTTTAGCTTTTGCAGGCCATGTGGTCTCTGTACAAGCCTTCACTCTGCTGCCACAGCACAAAAGAAACAAGTGGGAGTGGCTCTGTGCCAGTAAAACCTTGTTTACAGAAACCTGCAGTGGTCTGGATTTGTCCTGGGGGCTGCAGTTTGCTGACATCTGCTCCAAGAATGGATCTAGGACAAGCCACCAACTTCCCTTAAACAGATGCCTGCTAACCAAACGCTTCAGGTGATGATTAGATGGTTTTCTTGCCTGGTCACTATCTGGCCTGTGCAGCCTTTACCTCCCTCTGGGAGAGCCAAGAGCTAACAGGAACACTCCTGCTGCAGTGTGTTTGGCTTCACACAGACCTACTAGAGGCTGATGAAAGCAACAGACCCTCCTCTAGAAAAATGCACCTGCACGGCATGTGTGTGCACGTGCAGACACACACACACGCAATTTGCTTGCTTGCTGAGAATCTCAAGGGAGTGCCCAGCCCTCCTGAAGCTTATTCATGGACCACCTAGAGGCCTAAAAACACCTAGGGTAGGGCTTCCCTGGTGGCGCAGTGGTTGAGAGTCTGCCTGCCGATGCAGGGGACGCGGGTTCATGCTCCAGTCCGGGAGGATCCCACATGCTGCGGAGCGGCTGAGCCCGTGAGCCATGGCCGCTGAGCCTGCACGCCCGGAGCCTGTGCTCCGCAACGGGAGAGGCCACAACAGTGAGAGGCCCGCGTACCGCAAAAAAACAAACAAAAAACCTAGGGTAAGACCCCTTGCTCACTGAGAAACAGAACTAATTTTTTTGTATGTGAGAGAGTGCTCAAAAACACACACAAAAGAGAGAAACAACCCTGTAAAAAAAGACAAATGACGCAATCACAGAAGAAATACAAATGATCACAAAAAAGAGGTGAAAAGATGCTCCATCTCACTAACAAGGAAAAAAATTTTAAATCACAGTATATCAGTTTTCACCAGATTAGACTGGCTAATGTTTGCAAGATTAATGACAGGGTATCGGAAGGGGTGTGGAGGAAAACCTCTCAGACATTCTGGAAGGCTAGCATCTGTGTATAAACTTTTGGGAAGACCATCTGACAATCTATATTAAAATTTAACACATGCTGATCCTGGGGCCCAGCAATCCCACTTCTAGGAATTTATTTTACAGAAATACATATACAGGGATGTTCACTTCGGCAGCATCATAAATCAGAAAAATTGGAAACCAACCCAAAAGTCCATTAGCAGGAAGCTGGTTACATAAATTATGGCACATCTATATTATAGAAAAACATGGGACTGTTTAATAATGACGCCAATATCCACAGTTTAAAATAATAAGGTAGATTTCTAAGGACTGGCAGGAAAAGACATAAAAGACACACTGTTAAGTGAAAAAGGCAAGTTGTAACAGTATTTCTTTTAAAAAGAGCAACATTAGTATATCCAGATTTTCTTATTTTTTTCATAACGGAGAGTTACATTCTAAACAGATGAAGTTAGGCTTATAGGATTTTACAGTCCACATTTTATATTTCCAAAATAGTGACTTCTTACTTTTTGTTTTATAATCATAAAAAAGAAAAGAAAAGAAAAAGAATCCTTATGAGCCTACTAGCCTCCCCTAAAGGTTTCTTGGACAATAACTATGACCTCATTTTAAAGACTTTCTTCTTTTTTTCTTAACATCTTTATTGGAGTATAATTGCTTTACAATGGTGTGTTAGTTTCTGCTTTGTAACAAAGTGAATCAGTTATACGTATACATATATCCCCGTATCTCTTCCCTCTTGCATCTCCCTCCCTCCCACACTCCCTACCCCACCCCTCTAGGTGGTCACAAAGCACCGAGCTGATCTCCCTGTGCTATGCGGCTGCTTCCCACTAGCTATCTATTTTACACTATTTTACGTGGTGTATATATGTAGTGGTAGTGTATATATGTCCATGCCACTCTCTCACTTTGTCCCAGCTTACCCTTCCCCCTCCCCCCTATCCTCAAGTCCATTCTCTAGTAGGTCTGCATCTTTATTCCCGTTAAAGACTTTCTTAAAGGGGATTCGTGGTGTGGTGGTTCTTATCTATTTGTCTTAGGCTTTACTACAATAAAGCAGCTTTCTGTATTTCAGAGCGTAAACTCCTCAAGGACCATCTCCTTCTTTTATCCTGAAATTCATAACTGCCATCACACAGGCATAGTGTGGCTCAAATAATGGGGGTGATGCCAGATTTTTATTTTTCATTTTGATGAAAGAGGTGGTCGTGTTCACACTATCAAAAAACAGAACCACGGCTCCTGCTTCACAATTTACACAACTTACTGGAATCTGTGTACGTTTGACAGTTCTAACATATTTCTTACAGTTTCAACATTTGTTTTCCCCTGGGAATTTGAGAAGGAAGGAGATATATCCATTTTTTATAAATCTACCTGGTTAAAAAAATAAAAATAGGGACTTCCCTGGTGGCGCAGTGGTTAAGAATCCGCCTGCCAACGCAGGGGACATGGGTTTGACCCCTGGTCCAGGAAGATCCCACATGCCTCAGAGCAACTAAGCCCGTGCACCACAATTACTGAGCCCACGTGCCGCAACTACTGAAGCCTGTGCGCCTAGAGCCCGTGCTCCACAACAAGAGAAGCCACCTCGATGAGAAGCCCACACACCACAACAAAGAGTAGCCCCCGCTCGCCTCAACTAGAGAAAGCCCGCGCGCAGCAATGAAGACCCAACGCGGCCAATAAATAAATAAATAAATGTTCCTTTAAAAAAATTAAAAAGAAAAGAAATAGTAGCTTTAAAAAAATAAATAAATAAAAATGTACAAAAGAGTACGAAGTCAATCTCCTTCACACCACCAGGGGCAGGGCAACCAGAGTTCCCAGATACGTGTGTGTCCTCCACTCCCCAAGCACAGCACATATGTGGTCCTGGGCCGAGCCTCTCTCACCTAACACAGACCCCACCGAGTGTTCCATTTCCATGGACCCAGACCCAGGCACTTCATTCTTCCCACCGGGTCAAAGTTAACCCAGCAAAATGCAGGAAGGGTGAACAGAAGAGGCACTGGGCCAGGCCTGGCCTCTGGCTCACAGCCTGTAGGAAGGGGTCAAAGAGATGTCGGTAGCTCTTCAAGCTCCTTACAAGAAGACCAGCAAGTCCCCAGAGCTCCCTCAAAGCTAAACGAGGGCCCTTCAACAGCATGACTCCTGACTCATTAGTGGAAAGAGAAAGCAGAAGTGAATGCACTGCAAATAAATAGTGATGGGAGGTATTGTTTCATAAATACTTTCTCAATGGGAAACTGAGAGAGTCCAGACCTTCCTGTTGGACAGAGAAATCTCTCTGAAAGCCTAGCATTCTCACTTCTTTCCCAATGGCCAGCTCTGAAAGGCACACCTGCCTGACCAGGTGAGCCTGAAGACAGCTCCCTTCTTCCTCCTCCTTTGACTTTCTTTTAACCCAGACCTTCCTGCAGCCTCTCCCATTTCCAAAAGAAGCACATTCTGTGGCGTTCTGGTGCTACCATAGAAACCCTCCCCAGAAGGGCTCCCTGTGCCCAGAAGGGCTCTCTGTGCCCCAGCATTTAGAAAACACAGCAGAGAGGCAGCCTATGTGCTCCCCAGAGTTTTTCATTCATTTCTGAACAAAGCAAGAGTTAGGGGCAGGGTGATTCCAAGAGAGGTGTGTTTTAAGGTTGCACTGTTAGCAAGAAAACCCTTGCCACAGAAAATATGAGAAAAGAAAGCAGGTGGCAGGTTTTTTCTCCTGGGTGCCGCCTTCTCTAGGCACATGGCTCCCTCGGCACCTCAGTCATGGTCAGGATGCAGGGGACGGGCCACTCCACGAGTCCCGCTCTGCTGCCTTCCTTTCTGCCTGCAGGACCTCCCCAGCTTGGGAGGCCGAAGCTGGCTTTGCTGCCACAGCTTCACCACCGATGACCCTCTACTGCTTGGGATACCCAGGCACAGGCAGGCAAATGGAAAGCAAGGAAATCAAAGCCAATAAAAGCTGCCTCAGATTCACAAGAAGATGACTGAACTAGAGATCTTCCTAAAATAATTGGTACTTACTGTTAATGAGGTGAATGTCATGCACATCCCACCAAAGCCATTCAGAGCCAGGGCGATGAAGATGAGCACGGAGAGGGCTGGAAGGAAGCAGAAAGGCTCATAAGCGGGGAACCACGGCCGAGCTTCAGGGAGGCCGGGGCCTGCCCCAGTGCCAGGTAAGGAGCTGGCTCCGAACAAACGCAGCTGAGTGCCTGACAAGCCATCAGGCATTAGTGCCGGACACCTGGGGAGCTGGCCCAGCCTCTGCCTCATCCTCCTCTTGCCTACTTTACGGAGCTTGGGCTCTTGCAAAAGCTGCATCCCCGTCCTCCTTTCTCCACTAACCTTAGCAGCAAGGGAGAGGCCTAGAGAAACCAAAAGTACAGGTACCCAAGAATCAGGAGATGAGCCTCGATAAGATTTTGGTGAAACTCAAATCCTACTTTGGTGTTTGTTCTAAAAGTCCTTGCAGCATCAGCTCCACCTGAACAGGGTTAGGGACCAGGCAGCTTCTAAGTTATTTTTAAAGTGCTGGCCTGGGCTAGCCCAAGGGGCTCAGCTCATGACCTCCACACACACCCCTGCAGCTGGCCTAGTTCTCCAGTTGGCATCACTGAGGCCATGGGGGACCAGCCTGGCTCGGCAATGAGATGGGTGTTTCTCAACCCCTGGGAGCTTCTCTCAGACCTCTGTCTGGGGCCATTATTTGGTTATCCAGCCACCCATCAGAGATAAGTCACTGGGTAAAGGCCTAACAGGTGTCCCTCTAATTTGAGCAGTGAGCACCAGGTCTGGCCCAGCTTTCTAGAGCAGGTGGGGCCTACAAGCACCGCTGGGCACTCTCTCCCCAGTCCCTGACAAAAGGGTAGAGGAAAAGCTCACTCACAGTTTGGGTTACTTGCTCCATATGCAATCAGCAAGCAGGAGACAGCAAAGCAGGCACTAAAAAGAAACAGAAACGGTACATTGTTATTATTGTTACTGTTAATATTGCTTATTTGGAGGTAGCTGTTATGTGTCAGATGCTTTCAGAAAACTTACATACATTCTTTCATTTAATTTAACAATTTTATGGAGTATAATTGGCTCCATTTTACTGATGACAAAAATAAAACCCGAAAAGCAAAAACAAGACAACAAGGTCCTACTATATAGCACAGGGAACTATATTCAATATCCTGTGATAAACCATAATGGAAAAGAATATGAAAAAAAATGTATATGTATGTATAACTGAATCGGTTTGCAGCACAGGAGAAATTAGCACAACATTGTAAATCAGCTATACTTCAATAAAATAAATTTTTTAAAGAACAGGTATTCAAACACTTAGAAAAAATCAAACACAAAAACTAAATTCTCCAAGGTCTCCTAGCTAGCAGGTGGCTAAGCTGGAATTCAAGCCCCAAAGCCAGATCTGGTAAACACCCCGCTGCACTGCCCGCTCCATTCCCCAGACTGGAGCGGGCCAAGGCTGTGAAGCAAGAGAGGACACAATCCATTCCCCAGGCTCCCATGCCCGCTCAGCAAAAGGGGATGGACAGAACCCCACCGGGCAAGGGGCGATGAATGGCAGCTTCCAAATCCCCTCTGCCTGGCTCTAACCTGGGGACCAAGTCTACTTAAGCTCCAAAGAATGAATGAAACTGGTCCCCCACTCATTCCCTTCAGGGCTACAGGCCTTGCTCATTGCAAACCACTGCCCTGCACGATGCTCATTTCCAATGGGACTGGCTTGGGGAGTACCTTGGCCAGAGAGGGCTAGCTACTTGGTGGACTGACCCTGAGACTGGCAATCTGGAGCTTTATAGCCCAGGAACACATCCCAGGAGGTACATAAGATGACCCACTAAGGTACCAGAGGTAGGGAAATACTATTTTACAATTTTATAATTTTAGAAATTTTATAATTTTCTATTTTATAATTTTAAATCTCAGCCACTTTAATTTATATTTTTTGTATATGTATCATAAGGCACATAAAACACCATATGAGATGATGGATGTTCCCTAAACTTACTGCGGTCATCATTTTATGATGTATGTAAGTCTGATCATTATGCTGCACCTCAGTCTTATACAAGGCTGTACATCAATTATTACCTCAATAGAATTGGAAGAAAAAAATAAAGCACATAGAACATTAAGAATGATATATGTGGGGGCTTCCCTGGTGGCGCAGTGGTTGAGAGTCCGCCTGCCGATGCAGGGGACACGGGTTCGTGCCCCGGTCCGGGAAGATCCCACATGCTGCGGAGCGGCTGGGCCCGTGAGCCGTGGCCGCTGAGCCTGCGTGTCCGGAGCCTGTGCTCCGCAACGGGAGAGGCCACAACAGTGAGAGGCCCGCGTACCGCAAAACAAACAAACAAAAAAAGAATGATATATGTGTATATCATTGACAACACCATGTGCTTATATTAGAGGTATGTATTCAAATTCTTTCTTCTCATGGAGGTGTAAGATCAGAAAGACTGGAAACCAGTGTTCTTTGTTTTGTGGTAAGCGGGCCTCACCGTTGTGGCCTCTCCCGTTGCGGAGCACAGACTCCGGGCGCGCAGGCTCAGCGGCCATGGCTCACGGGCCCAGCCACTCCGCGGCATGTGGGATCTTCCCGGACCGGGGCACGAACCCGTGCCCCCTGCATCGTCAGGCGACTCTCAACCACTGCGCCACCAGGGAAGCCCCAAAAACCAGTGTTCTTAATGACAAGCGATTCCAGGCCCTCCCAGGCAGGCCTGAGCCCTGTGACTTTTTATGCAGATCGGCACATTGCAAGGATCACAGTAGCTGTTGATTTGGTTGCACATGGGGCAGGAAGCCCATCCTGGGCAGGCATTTAGGGAGCTCCATAGTGCACCTGAGAGCAGGTACCAGGATTACCCACAGTGGGGAATCTCAGCCCAGGGGTCCCACCTGCCCACCCCCACCCCTAGAACTGACCTGCCCAGCAGCCTGAGCTTCCTTGGGCCGTACTTGTCCATGACGATGCCCAGAGGCAGGGTGATGGCACTGAGCAGGAAGGAGCCCACGGTGAAGGCCAAGTTTAGCATCTCATCCTGGGCCTTGCAGCTGAGCCAGCCATTCATTCGGCTCACCTCCTCGTGCTCCGGCTCTGCTGTGCCCCCCACTGTGCCATTGGTGACATTCTCTGTGTGTAGAGGGAGGGAAACCTGACCACAGGGTCGTGGCAGCAATCTCCAAAGATCAGAGGGGCAGGTGCCCACCCGGAGTCAGCCCACTGGGAATGCCAGGGCTGAATCTGGCTACCCCCCAGCAGGCTGGGATATCTATCTGGCCCAAGCTCCCTGAAGCGATAATGCAGAGATTCTTCACTTCTGTGTGGGGGTCACAGATGCTTTCAAGAATCCAATAAAGGAAGCTCCGCTCCTGCTCTTTAGAAAATGCACAAAGTCTTGCCCACAGTTTCAGGGCCTTCAGGCACCCCCTGTAGCACCCACGAGCCCCATGTTGGGATTCCCATTCTAGAGTAACCGACACCTAGAAGAGTAGGCCTCGGGACCCAGCCCGGGCTGTGAGTGGGACCCCAGGCTGGCTAGAACCTTCTCTGCAGCTCTGTCCATGGAAACAGTCTGCAGCCAGTATACAGGAGGCTGACCCTAGACCACCTGGGAAGGACAAGCTGCTGGTCTCACTGCGCTGCCCTTGGTCAACCGAGGAGAGGAGTGAGTAGGCCTCCTTTACTGCCCAGTACGGCAGTACGGCAGATTTCTCAAACACACAGCCCCTGTGCTAAATCCTCCCCGATGTTCTAACAGCATCAACCACCACATATACTGTGTCATGGAAGCCCTTGGGAAGGGTTTTTGTTTTGTTTTGTTAAAAAGAAGAAAAGTCCCAAGTAATCTGCTTTCACTTATTGAAGTGCACCTTTCTTCTTCTCGCTGGGGTCATGTTGTCACTGTCTCCTGTGGCCACGCCTGTGCTGTAATCCCAGTCCTTAACGATACCCTCCAAAGTCCATCTGGCACCAAGACAACGAAAAGATGGAGGAAAAAGTGCTGCAGCAGCGGAGGGTGGGAGGGTAGAGGATAGGCCGCCACGTGACAGAGGAACCCTCTCGTCTCAGCGACTGCTAGTTAAGAGATGCTGACTAATCCCACAGAGAGAGGAGCAGCCTCTGATTAGAGGTGAGGCCGCGCTGGGAGACTCAAGGAAATACCTCTCTGCAGATAACTGTGTGCCTCCTGAATGCGGCCCTCTGGCACCAGGGTTATAAACCTGAGGTGTGCAAGGCCTGCCTGGGTCTCTCTTGGGTGTGACCCAAGGTTGCGGGAAAAGATGCACCTTGGGTGAATCATGCTAAATGCCAGCCTCTGACCAACAGGCCCTGCAGGGGGCACGCTGAGGGTGGGGTGCAGGGAGCTGGCCTCTGGGCTCCAATTTTGGATCCTCCACTTCCTATTTGTATAACCTTGGAGAAATGATTTCATCTCTACCTCAGTTTCTTTATCTGTAAAATGAGCATAATATAAAAACACATCTACGTTTCTAGAGTTCTGAGGAAGATAAAAGAGAAATCCAGATAACATTCTAGAGTTCACATAGGCATAGAAAGTGCTCAATAAACAATAGCTAAAAGTTGTTATTACTACTATTACTACTCCTCTCGTTGGCTCAGAATGGGGGTAATGGCTGGCAGCAGAGCTGGACACACTAACTGGGAGCAGAGTTCTGTAACTGACCATTCATCCACAGCATGAATTCATGTCTAGTCTCCCACTGGGCTGGGGGCCCTGAAGGACAGGGACTGTGTTCTAGTCACCTGTGTCCCCGGCACCTCCCCTTGGTCCTGGTACACAGTAGTTGTTTACTGAATGAATGAAAACAGTGGCATCAGATCACATTGGCCAAAAGGATCAAGAGAGAAGAAATGAAACAGGACACATGGAACCAACTTGAAGACAGAGGGGATCAAAGGAGATTATAGCCCCTGAAGCCAAAGACACAAAACCTAACAAGCCAGACTCTCAGCGCCCCCCACCACTTTCTCTCAGCTTTCCAAAAGATGCCCCACCATGCCGGCAGCCAAAACACATGACAAACAGGGTCATCTGAGCCCACTAGGATCCAGCTCAGAACCGTCACACACACTGCCTTAGCCAGCAGGCCTGAGCTGCTTGTCCACAGCGAGGCCGCTTCTGGAAAAGCAGAGCTGCTCCACAGGTTGGCACTGGTTTCGGGTGTCAGCTCTGCCAGCAGCAACAGGAACTGGAATGTAAAGCGGGAGGACAGGGTGTCCGCAAAGCAACAGCCACCTCCAGGTTGGTGTGCAGGTGCAAGCAAACCAACAGAGGTGCGACAGAGTGGATGCTGGGGAAGGGGGCACCCCCAGGTCTGGGATCGCTGGCTTGTGAGAGCGCTAGAGGACACGAAATCACTCCAGGCTGGGAGTGCTGTGGGATCTGCTGCTACAAGCAGGGAGCCATGATCAGATGGGGAGCAGAGGAAGCGAGGCAGCACAGGCTCTGAGTAAAGGCACAAGGGTGCTCTGCTCCTAGCTTCCCCAGAGAGGAACCACAGCTGGACCTAAACCCATGACTGTACTCCCTGAGAGAGAGAGAGAAGATGAAATCCCAAGGCAACATACATATGCAAGGCAGACTCCCTGATTTGCTCTAAGTGAAGATGGGGACGAAAATATCTTGAATTGTTTAGAGATCTGGTCACCCTGTAACTAGACAGGGGGGCTCAGGGGGAGAGAAGTTAGAGTGGAGGGAAAGGAATCTGTCTCTCCCATCTTTCATCCTAGAGCCGCTACAACAGAAGCAGGGACCTTACACTTTTGGCCACCAGCCTTCTCTTAAATCCCTGCCAATGGGGCCACCTGGCCCTCTGCCCTCCTAGCTCCCGGCAGTGATGTCCAGCAACAAATGAGCTGAGGGTGGAGGCGCCCGGGTGGCCTCTCATCAGTCCAGGGAGCAGTGCGAGAGTGCCCCTCGCCCCAGAGGGAACTAAACCTTCTGTGAGCCCGAAGCTTTGTTGGCAGTTAAACAGCCCACACGAATTATCACAGATCCAGCAAATGCCCAAACACAGTCACAGTCACCCAGGCTGCTTCTGTCGCTCTGCTCCCACCTGGGCTACTGTGGGCCAGACAGACCCAAACAGATAAGCACCCAGGAAGTGCCAAGCCCCTGGGGTGCCCCTCTGCTCCCAGCCTAGACCTCAGCCCTCACCCCGGTCCAGGCTGATCTGTGCCTCACCTGTACCGGCTTATTACAGATGCAGCCAGAGTGGCCTGTCCCGGCCCAGCCCAGCCAGGGAAGGTGAACCAAGAAGACAGGCAAGGAACTGGCGTGCCCAGAGTGTGCAGAGAACAGGCGTAAGGCTGCTTAGGAGGAGACCCGGGGCAGGGAAGAGACAACAATGCCTGCCCTGTTCGGCCCCACTCACAGAACTCACACACGAAATCCTTACAGAGAAAGCAAGGGAGAAAAGAGGGTGCTGTGGTCCCCCTGAGGCTCCCCTAACCTCCCTGGATCAAGGAGGGGGCTCCCCTGACCCCAGGGAAACAAACCAGAAGAGCTGACCGTACGATGCCCAAGGGAGCAAGGGGCACCGGGTTGGAGGCCTCTGCAAACCCGAGCTGCGCCCCCAACCCCCAGAGTGCAGGCCTATGGACGCCCTGATATGGTCTCTGCCCCAGGATCTCCTGTCTCTCTCAAAACCTTAGTCTATCCGGCAACAGGAAGCAGCATCTCAGTCTGGCAGGGGGTATGTAGGTAAGAGGTCAGCCTCAGACACAGCAAACCGAGGCAGGACACAGTCAGAGGACCATGCCGGGTAGGCCAGGACCCAGCCCCCACGTTGTGATCGCAGAGTGCCGGCGTGCGCTGGCCACTGTGCTCTGCGCTAGTGGTTCCTGTGTCACCAAGCGCCATCCCACCCTCACCCCATATTCCACATCCAGACACCAGGAGTGTCAGAGCAGATAAGTCACTTCCCCCAGGTCTCATAGACAGTATATGGGGAAGTTGGACCTGAATCCAGGTGGTCGGACCTCAAAGCTTCTGCTTTTAACCTTCAGGCTGTGCTGACGCTGTACCACCTGGGTTAGAGGCATTTCAGAGAGAAAACGCTGAGGGAAGAAAGACGCACAAGGCTATCAGTGCTGGGGCAATGCCAGGTGGCCCCTAATGTCACCTAGTGAGAATGGGACTGCCCCCAAGATGCTCCCACGAGGTCCCTGAAAGCCAGCCAAGCTGGACAGGACCTTAATGGGACACCAAGAAGCCAGGTAGGGCCAGCAGATGTGGAGGAGGGAAATTAGGTCATGGAAAGGAGGCAGGCAGGGTGGGTGGGGAGGGCCAAGGGCACCAGCTCCTTTGTGACACGTCCCGAGGCTGGAGGGCCCAACCTGGATCCCCAAGTCCTGAGTTAAAAAAAAAAAAAAAAATCCAAAATAAACTGGGGGGAGAGAGTGAAAACAGTCCTATTCACAGCAAAAAAGTGAAAGGACTTCCCTGGTGGTCCAGTGGTTAAGACTCCCCGAGCTTCTACCGCAGGGGGCATGTGTTTGATCCCCGGTCAGGGAACTAAGATCCTGCATATGCCACGCGGCGTGGCCACACACACACACAATGTGAAACGATGGGTTTTCAAAAGCTACCACCAGTGGCCTTTGAGGGTGGGAGGAGGGCTGTCAAGTGGCACAGACCATCTCCTATCCACATCTGCAGCTTCGGTCCGGCCTGGTGGGGACCAGGCCTGGCCCTGCTCTCTCAGGGTCCTGGGGGCCAGCTTCCTGCTTTGTTTCAGTGAGGGATGCCACCCCCCCAGCCACCCCAAGCAGAGTAACTGCGGTGGTCAAGAGCACAGAACTGGGGTCTGCCTTGGGGTCCATGGCTGGGCTGGACCGTGGCTTCCTCGGGCAGAGGCCACGTCTCCCACCTTCAGGACCCCCACCCCACCCAGCACCTGGCGGGTGGCAAGCCCTCAACAATTCATGAGAGGCTAACAGGTGAATCTGACCATCTCTTCTGCCTCAGGAGCTTCCTCCTGCCTTGAGAATAAAATCCAGTCTCCCCAGGGGCCTGCAGGCCCTGGCCCCTTCCCAGATCTCCAGTAATCTCTCCTGCCCGCCTGTCATTTCTCTCCTCTCTTTCAACACACAGCTTACCCCGGAGGCTCACCGCCCGCTCCTCTCCTGAGTCACCCCTGTGGCCCTCCACGCTTCTGCCTAAATATCACAGAGCCCCCCCGCCCCACCCAAGTTGAACCAGATCCCCACGGTGGCTCTCACCCCAGCACCCTGCTCTCTGCTGGGGTCGGACCACCACTTGGAAGCATGTAGGCCTATGTGTGATGACTCTTGGATGCTGTCAGACTACAGACTCCCTGAGGGCCCGGATTGCTCTGCACCTAGCAGAGCCCCTCAGAAAATGTTTACTGATTGTATAGGTCAGATGAAAAAGGAGATTAAACATCCACAGGTAGCACCAGCCCCCTGAGCTGACCCTGTCGAAGTGGGCCACCGGTTGACAGAGGAAATGAAGAAAGAGTTTGGGTGTGGGTGGTGACAGCGGCCATCCGGCGGCCAAAAGGACACAGTTCTGGAAAAGCCGGGGCTGGGAACCCAGTCGGTCTCCTGTCCATTCCAGCGGGGAGTGGGGAGGCAAAGCCAAGTGCCAGCCCCAGGTCCCCAGCCCCAGTCATCCATCCTGACTGTCCGGGAGACAGGGATAAAGAGCTGAGGGGAAATGGAAAACCCAGCTCTTTCTTTCTTTCTCCCACCTCGACATGCTGGAACCGGACACCGTGTCTGTAGCCGGATTCTGGCTGGAGTCCCGAGAAAGAGTTCTGAGAACCTTTCAACAGGTTCAGGCAAATTTTCTTTCGAGAACAAACCAAAGCATCGGTCCTAAAAGCAACAAAAAGCTGACAAATTTGCATTTCAGTCAGCTGTAGACTGGTCAGCTTTTCACAAGCTTAATTCAATAAAGGTAATAAATGGCCTAACTGCTTCTCTGCAATTCAGCTGTCCCCCAAGCATGAAAATATTAGGCCTAAGCAGAAATCTTGATCCTAAATCCTCCGGGCACACCCAGCCAGGCAAGACACAGGGACTCCTGGCCCCAAAAGGCAACAGGTTACTCAAACTCCAAGAAACAAGGAGCAAGGAGGCCAGAGAGATAAGCTGTGTGGAATCAGCAGGCCTGCCCGCCACGGATGCTGGGTCAGCGGGTTTGCCAGATAGTCAGAAAAACCAAAATCAGAGGCAGGAACAAAGGCACGGGATAAGAAGTTTATGTTCAACCCACAGTCCTGACCCTTCACCTTCACTTTGGTTTACAGGAGGGACCAGGCAAGCCTTGCAAGGGCTTAAACACCAACTCAGCACTACGTCGGCACAATCTCTGGGACTCCTCCCACTTCAAAGAAGGAAGAAGCCAAGGCTGAGGCAGGAATGAAGTGACCAGCCCCAGCGCTGCCAAGACCATAAAATACATTAAATCAGTGGACAAAGTGGGGGAAAAAACGCTAGAATCTGATCTTCTGATACCACAGTAGGTCAAAAAAAAAAAAAAAAAAAAATTGACTACAATAGTCCTCCAGTCTGGATGAGATGCTAAAAGCTTCATCTGGGGATGATGCTTCCTTTTGTTTTTTAACCCCTCTGTGCAGCCTGAAAGAATCCATCAGAGGCAAGCAGGAAGGGTCATGATCTACAAGGAGAGGAGAGAGGGAGGGAGAGGAGGCGGCTGACACTCCAATCTGTTCCCTTCCAGAGTCATTAATCTCCTAACATCTCTCGGGCAAAGCAGAAAGCTTGTTTAAGGAACAAGGTCTGAGTGACTCTCCCATCTCTCAAGATTTCTTGCTGATGTGGGAAAAGGTCTGCCAAGAACCCTAAGGTTATTAGGAAATATTTCTGAGTGGCTAAAGGTTAAAGGTTATAAATGATATACTATCTGCCCTCAGGCAGGCTCAGCATCCCCTCCCTTTCTCCTGTCCTTAAACCTCTCCCAGCTGAAGCTTCCCTAGTGACTTGGAATGCTCAGGAATCTCCTAGGAAGATCAGAGTAGGAAATCAGGGAGGGTTCTACACGGGCTGACAGGCAGCATGAGCTGGTCCAAAGCTTTCTCTTCCCTCAAAGTTAGAACTCTAGAAAAAAAAAAAAGGGGATGTGGGCTTCCCTGGCAGCGCACTGGTTAAGAATCCACCTGCCAATGCAGGGGACACGGGTTTGAGCCCTGGTCTGGGAAGATCCCACATGCCGTGGAGCAACTAAGCCCTTGCGCCACAACTACTGAGCCTGTGCTCTAGAGCCTGTGAGCCACAACTACTGAGCCCGCATGCCACAACTACTGAAGCCCACGTGCCTAGAGCCCGTGCTCCACAACAAGAGAAGCCACTGCAATGAGAAGCCCGCACCACAAGGAAGAGTAGCCCCCGCGCGCCGCAACTAGAGAAAGCCGCACGCAGCACCGAAGACCCAGTGCAGCCAAAAATAAATTAATTAATTTTAAAAAATTTTTAAGAAAAGGCATGCCAGTGGTGTGATTCAGGGAGTCAGACCTGGGCTATCTCCAACCAAAGGAAATTGGGCAGGGGCTGCTGACAAAAGTACTGGGGAGAGACATTACTGAGTTCAACCCTTAGGTAGTCACTGCTGGGGACAGAGAGCAGAGGAAAACATTTCCTATCAAGGTTGCCTAGGAAGGTGGGTAGCAGGGTAGTGGGTGAGGGGCACTTGGGTCCCACTGATTGGCTGAATCCCACTGACCTTCAGCAATCAGAATTCTTTCACAAGGTCATCGGGTGTGAACATAGGGGTGGGGGTTAGATTTCTTGTAGACAAGCATCCTCGGCCTTCATTCAGCAACACCAATGTGTAGCAAAGGGAGAGGACAGACCTAGTGTCCTTTCCATAAATATCCTCCTTACCTCTCTCCTCCCCCCACCCCCATGGGGGTAGAAGGCCACTGAGACGTTCTCACAGCCTGTGAGAGGAAATGTCCTTTGGAAAATCATAAAGCAGCAAAAATAGACAAGAAATTGTATCCGAAAAGCCCTTTAGAGACTCCATGATGGCCTGACAGAAAAACATCTAGATTCTAGGTGAACCTTCCACCGGCTGGAGGCCAAGCCACTTCCTCTCTCTTGCTGCACCCCAGCTACTGAGTCAGGAGTTCCTCTTTCTTACAGTCAGAGAGCAACATGTTTACTGCAAAGCAAGTGATGTGCCAGGCGCTGGGAGGAAGGGAGTCCAGTCATGTTCCCAGGTGGTGGAGAGAACACCCTGGACTTAGGGGCTCTGGATCTATTCACAGTCTACAGCTGTGCGGCCTCAGACAAGTCAGAAGATCTGAGACTCAGTTTCTTCAGCCACAAAACAGGGACAGTGATGTGTACCCAGCACACACTGTGGGTGTGTGTGAGCTGGGTGAGGATCAAATGGGCCTTTTGCTAACTAGGAGGTGCTGCGCAGTGAGGCGGTCTTGCTGGCTGGGTCCACACCGCCATCCCCCCTCTCCCAAAGCCCCCACTCCAGGAACCACCCCGAGTCCGAATACCCGGCTCACCTGGCTCAGTACACAGGTAGGAGTAAAAACCCTCCGACTTGAGCATGATGAGCAGCGAGCCCCAGCCCAGGAGGACTGCCGAGAAGAGGAGGTTTTCCAGCACGGCCGTGCAGGCCATCCACCAGCGGCGCCGATGGGCAGTGGCCAGGGTGGGCGCCATGGCGAGGCGAGGCGAGGCGAGGCGAGGCGAGGCGCGGCGGCCCGGCTCCGGCTCTGCAGCCGCCTGCGCACAGACCTCGGCGTCAGCGCCCGGCACTATGCAGCCGGGTCGGCCAACCCGGGCCGCTGCCGCAGCGCGCGGAGCTTGTCACCCCTCTGCGGCCCGGGAGGCAAGTGCGCGCAGCAAGGAAGCCCCAGCCCTGCCCGTGCCCTGGGCCACCCTCTCCGCCGCTGGCTCGTCCGCCTGCCCGCAGCTCCGGGAGAGCCGCCCCGGCCAGACAGGGAGACTTCTCCCTCGGCTCACTCGGAGGGAAACTGAGGCATGGAAACAAGAAGGGACTAACGCCTGCTCAGGGACGTGGACTTAGTCCTGGGTCCCAGAAGGATTGACACAGCCTGGAGGCTGGCAAGGGAGGCAGCCTGAGGTCCGGATACCTGGGCAGGTGCATACCTGAGGGCTGCCACTCCCTGGGGCCCTCACTGGCGCCCGCCCGCCGGCACTGGAGACCCTCTCCCAGACCGGGCTCCCTGAACCACAAGATCAGCGCACGGAGTTCCAGAACGGCCCGCCCACGGCCCGCTCATTGGCCTGACGGCACAGGAACTACCGCGCCATTGGCCGCTGTCTAGGTCGCTAGGCGCTGCGGCCACGCGAGCCCCGCATGGGAGAGGAGAAGCCGGTTCAAACCGGCGGCGCGAGTCTCTCGCGCGACCCCCATCCGGGGCCGTTTCCTCGGCAATTAGCTCGTTTCCATGGAAGTGGACCCCCGTCCCTCCATCCCCCAGCTCCCTCCTCGATTCGTCAACTCTTTCCTGGAGGCTCCTCATCCATTCAGTCTCTCTCCCTTCTCCTTTCCTTTCTCCTTTACATTTTCAACCTACGCTCTCGTGCGCCTTCTGCCCCCCAGCACCCAAGCCCGGGGCCCAGGTTCCCCGGATCCAGCTCACCCGGTTCTTACTGGTGTGTATCGGGCCCGGCCGGCGCCTTTTCTGCCCCCCTTTTATTCCAGCCCTTTTATTCCGACCCCAAGATGAAAACACTGCCACACGCTGATTGGCTGAGTGGGGGCTGGAAACAGGCTTTATCCAATCAGCAGCCACCCGCCCGCCCCGCGGCGAGCAGAAGCCGGTTCCGGCCGGACTAGGAGACAAACAAGGGAGATGGGGGGGGCGCCGGGACCTGCGTTGGGCGGTGTTTTTGGTCTGGTCCTTTAAACTGGAGTCACAGCCGGGCCGGGAACCCCCAGAGGCATTGCCCCATCGCCTCTCCAGAGCCTCGCCCCGAAGCCCTGTCTCTGGATTGGGTACCCTGCTCGACGTTCCGGCTTCCTCGGTCTTGCCCTAGTTGCACGCCGGTCCGCCTCGCTCACCTAGTCTAGCTCGCGCACTCCGCTCTCCTCCGGCCCGCTTCGTCTTCCCCAGCTTCTCCTGTGCCTTGGGCACCACGCCCGATGCTCTGGCGCCGCGTGGGTCGTCCCGCTCCCGCCACTTCCATTGCCTCCCCACGCAACGCTGCCATCCTGTCTTGGGCTTTGTGCCCTGAATCCTCGCTCTCCTGCCCCTAGTAACCCTCATCCAGGCGCTGTCTGCTCATTCTGGATCCCCTGACCTCTCTCTATCCGGGCATGGTGTGCCTCTTCCCTGCTCTCCTGATTCATCGACCCCAATTCTGGGTGCCATCTGCCCGGTCCCTGGAAGGTGTCCCTCGGGGATCCCCAAGTAGGAGTTTGGGGCTTGTCTGCCTCCTAGAACGTTGTTTCCTCGGGTGCTGCATCCAGACTCTGACCCCCCGACCCCACCCCGTTCCTCTCTCCTTGGTCCCCTCGGGGACCTTCACCCAAACCGGTCATCTTGGTGCTCCCTGCTGGAGTTGACCACCCCATTCCGACTGCCCGAAACCACCTCCACCCCCTTACTCCCCATTCCCTGACATCTCCTTCAGGTCAGGGCTCTCCCTGCAGGTTGACGCGGTGGGCAGCGCCAAACTGCAAAGCACAAGTCAGGTCTCCCGGAAAGTGCGCGGGGTCGGGAGGGCTCCAGGCTCCTGCTCTGATCAGCGACCTGGACATGCCCCGAGGAACTGCCAGGGCAGGGGGATGGAACCTAGGCTCTGGAGGTTCGGCTCTATTTGGAGGATCTCCCCCATCGAAGGCACTAGGCCAACAACTTCGGAGGGCCTTCGGTCTCCCGCAGATTCAGCTTGGTCTCTCTGGCACGCTCTGGGAGCTGGCCTTGTCATCCCAGGGCTGCGGGAGACCCAGCAGCCTCCTGCTCCACGTCCCTGAGTCCGAGTGCGCCCCCTGCCGCCGTGAACCCACCGTTGGCAACCTTGCTCAGACCACGCCAGACATTGTGGGCTTGGGGGATCCTGGCTGGTTGCCTATCCCGTTAATCTCACCCGCTCACAGGGTTGTAACTGTCTCTTGACTAACTTCAGTCTTTCCCTCCCTCCCTCTTAGAGCCGCCTGCCTGAGGGCTGTCTCCAGGCAGTTGTTCCATACACATTTCTAAACTGTTTCAAACACATCTCTGAAATAGTTCACTTTCTCCACCCCCAGCCCCCAAAACTGTTCCTCCCATCCTTTTTCAGATAATAGCATCACTACCTACTGAAGTCAGATACCGTGAACCATCTTTTCAACAAATATTTGTTGGGTACCTGCTGTTATTCTCCCTCTCCCTCCCACCCCCACCCCACCCAGACAATCCGTATCTCCTAAGTGCTTATCTAATTTGCCCATGTATGTCTATGACTGCAACTGCTGTTCATCCAGGTTCCAATCTCAGCCACTCAAATCCATCTCTTCACTGCACTCCATCCCAGTGAGCTATGTAAATCTGACCTCTGCTAAAATGCTTCAGAAACTCTTTACCATTTGTCCTGCAGGATAAAGTTCAAGTTCTCCAACCTGACCTACACAGGATGCTCCCCCACCCTGGCTGACTTAAGATGTTCCAGTCACATGGAATTGCTTGTAGTTCCCGCAGGTGCTGTTCTTTCACCTCTGACCCTCAAACGTAGTCCCTTCTGGAACAGCACCTCTTCCAGGAAGCCTTCCCTAACTACTCCTCAAGATATTCTCCATTATCTTTGTCCACTGATTACTTTGTTTTACAATTATCTGTTCATCTGTTTGTCTCTCCCTTTTCCCATCGACTATGAACTCTTTGGAGGCACGAACTGTGTCTTATTCAGCTTTGTATTGTATTATATCATATTCTGTATTAACCAGCCCTTAATACAGAAGAAAGCACAAAGCAGATGCACAATATGAGTTTGTTGAATGCAAACATGAATTAATGAAGAGGAGAAAGGTGTCAGCTTCTAGGGACAAAGGATTCAAAGCTGGGAGAATGATGTAATGCCAATAATAATGAACCTTTATTGAGAGTCAAAAATATACTAGGTGCTTTACATACTTTGTCATTTAATCCCTACTATAACCTGGGAGATAGCCACATGCGCATTTTTCAGATGAAAAAACAAGCTTTAAGTAACATTTCCAAAGTCACAAAACAAGTATGTCAGAACTGAGATTTGAATCCAAGTCTAATTTGGATGAAATTCTGGGTTTTTGTCTGTTTGTTTGTTCTGGCCGAGCCTTGTGGCATCTTAGTTCCCCAACCAGCGATTGAACCCGGGCCAGGACAGTGAAAGTGCAAAGTCCTAACTACTGGACCACCAGGGAATTCCCTGGGTTTGGTGTTTTTTTCAGTCTTTTTGTCAGCAGTGTTAAAGGCACCACACCAGCACTGCTGGCAAATCATAAAGAAATAAATGATTATGTATAAAATAAGCTACAAGGATATGTTGCTCAACACAGGGAATGTAGCCAATATTTTATAATAACTATAAATGGAGCATAACCTTTAAGAATTGTGAGTCACTATATTGTACATCAACTATACCTCAATTAAAAATTCATAAAGAAATAAAACCACTAAAGTACTAAAAGAAAATTAGAAGATTATTTCACTGATTTTAAGGTAGGGAA